CAGTGGCACAGCCCTCTGCCCACATGCTCCCGGGCCGTCACCCGCACGTGGGTGTCCTTTGGCTCCAGCAGCGTCAGCTTCGGAGGGTGTGGGATGTGCAGACTTCCCTGGAGGCCTTCGGGTACAGGCCTAGCTGTGAGACTGTGGGCAAGTCACTTCTCTCTGGGCCTCTGCTTCCCTGCTGGGGAGGGGGCGATAATGAAGCTAGGGTTAGGCATGTCAAATGGATTATAGCTTACTGTATTCTTATTATCTTCTACATTTTACATATAAGGTAACAGGCACAGAGAGGTTAAGTCATTTACCCTAGGGACACACAGCCAGCAAGTACAGAGCCAAGGTGACAGACAGCCTAGTGGGCAGTGGGTGGAGGTGAGGCAGAAGGAGCCCTCAAATGCCAAGGGGGGACAGACAAGGGAGCCCCTGGCTTGTTCAGGGTCCTGGGGCTGGGGTGGGGCAGAGTGTGAGTTTTATGTTGAGGGCAGTGTGGAGCTGTGAGGGCTTCGGTGCTGGTGATGGGTTTGTTCGAGGCAGATCTGTCTGGCTGCCTTGAGGAGGGTGTGTGAGGGACAGGAGTTGGAGGTGGGGAGACTAGGAGGAGGGCTGGGGTAAAGTTGGGGTGGCAGTGAGGGGAGGGGGGACAACTCCAGGGGAAGTTATAGGCTGGATGACAGGACCGGGTCACTTGGGGGAGGGGGAAAGGGAAGGTTTCAGGGTTGGGTCATGGTGGCCTAAGGGAGGTGCCTATGAAACAGGTCCAGAGGTTTTTTTGTTTTGTTTTAATGGAAAGCAAATCCCGGTGTGACCCTGCTCATCCTCCTCCAGTGGTTTCTCACTAGAAAACAGTCCAGATTCCTCCCCATGGCCTTTAGCCCCTCTGGAGTCTGGCCCTGCTTCCTTCAGCTTGTCCCTGTACAACCCAAACTGACCTAACCCCAGGTCCTTTGCCAGTCCCTCCCTCTGGGGTTCTTTTCTCCTCTCTGTACCTTTTATCATTTAAACCTCAGCTAAAATGTCACCCCTTTCCCTGACTAAAGCTCGCCCCCCCCCCGCCCCCCAATCACTCCCCGCTGCGTCGTCCTGTTTGATTTTCCTTAAAGGGTCTGCTTAACGGAAATTACCTTGTTCACTCACTGTGGGTTTCCCCACTGGAGTCTAAACTCCATGAGGGCTGAGAGCTATCTGTCCTATTCATGAGGTGGTCCCAGCACTGGAACAGAACCTGGGACATGGATGTGTTTGCAGTAGTGTCTGGAGCTAGGGAGAGGCTTGGCTCGCAGTCCCAGAGATAGCAGTGTCATGAAGGGGTGGGAAATGAGCATGAGGAGGAAGAGGGCAGAAGGCTAAGGTTGGAACTGGTGGGGGGTGGGCCTGGCCATGTGCAGAGGGTGGGTGAAGCAGAGGTGCTGGGAGGGAGGTTGGGAAGGGGCAGGTGGAAGACTAGTATGGACTTAACACCGAGGGGTTCAGGAAGGAGAAAGCAGTGGTGGTAGCCTGTCTACAGGCTGTGGGTGGGTCAAGTGGGATGAGGCAGGAGAAGTGAGGTTTGGTTTCACATCCCAGATCCAGTGTGGGGGAGGGAAGGAAAGACATCTCTAAAGAAAGTACAGCAGCGGGAGGAGCCTGGGCCAGAGAGGGGAAGGCATTGAAGGTGGAATTGACCAGCTAGGGAAGGAGCCTGAGGGAAAGCAGGAGTGGGGGTGGTGGGGGTTAGGGGGGTGCTCATGGCCCTAGGCTTGGGCTGGAGGTGATGGATGGTCAGGGTCTGCTCAGGGTCAGGCAGCGGCCCTGACATCCAGGTCTCTCCCCAGCAAGGAATTGAGGCAGGATGGCTGGTGGCGTTTAGAAGGCCCAGGCAGAACTGTGGCCACCTGTTTTCCAGGATGCAGCCGCTGGCCCGGGCTGGGGCCCCTCAGCTGGGTCCTGCTCTGCATCAGGATTCCTGGTCGTGCAGGGGCTTTGGTTTTGAGCTCTGAGAATAGAGCCTGGCAGGAAATGGCCTCTGGCACACAGAGGTTGCAATGGTGCGATGGTGGTGGGCTGGTGGTCACAGAGTGGCACGGCAGCCAGAGGGCTGGAGTTGGGCGGGGCAGCGGCCAAGAGCCCTGAAGCCCAGCATGGGCTGGGGCAGGAGCAGAGGCTCGGGACGCTGCTGCTGGTCACCCCCTGTTCTGGTTCTGAGTTCCAGGAAGGGGCCCTGCTGTCCTTTCTAGGCTAAGCGTGTTTAATCTTCCAGGCTGTGTGCTGGGGGGAGAAACACTAAGGTGTGTTCTTGGGAAGATGTGAAGGATCCTGGATCCCATTTGCAGCCCTTTGCCCTCTTCCTTTCTCACCCCTTGGAGACCTGAGTGCTGGGGGAAGAGGCTCTGCTGGGGGAGCAGGATGCTGGTGCCCAGCTCTCAGCTCTTTGCTTCTGCTCTTGCAGGTGCTGGGAGCCCTGTTCCTGGCCATCGGCCTCTGGGCCTGGGGTGAGAAGGTAAGGAGGTGGGGTAGGGCGTGGGGCTGCTGCAGGTCAAAATGATGGGAGGATCAGCACCCCAACTTGTCTCTGCTCCCCCGACACAGGGCGTTCTCTCCAACATCTCGGCGCTGACAGATCTGGGAGGCCTTGACCCCGTGTGGCTGTTTGTAGTGGTTGGAGGCATCATGTCGGTGCTGGGTTTCGCTGGCTGCATCGGGGCCCTCCGGGAGAACACCTTCCTGCTCAAGTTTGTGAGTGTCCCCCACCTAGACCCACTGGGGACCTCAACTTTCTCCCACCCACTTCTTACATATATTTTTGTGCTTAAGAATGGGTAGTTTTGTTACGTTATAACAATAAATGTCAGATTCATATTATCTATCCATATATAGGGTCCTTTCTGTTGAAATGACTGAAAACAGGTGGCCCGAGCATAAAAGGGTATTTATTGGTTCACTAAGAGAAGCCCAGGAGTGTGCTGGCTGCTGGCACGTTGGGGTCCAGGGACCACCACAGGGTCGCTTGGCCTGGCCTCTGTTTCTTGGCTCTGTCCCTCTCCGTTAGCTCCATTCCCCATGAAGTTGAAGGATCCCCAGGATTTGTGGGTACCGGCCTCACGCTGCCCGTGCTGCCCTCCTAGGAACTCCTACTGGCAGTGGTTCTCAACCTTCTGGCCCTTTAAATACAGTTCCTCATGTTGTGACCCAACCATAAAATTATTTTCGTTGCTACTTCACAACTGTAATGTTGCTACTGTTATGAATCATAATGTAAATATCTGATATGCAGGATGGTCTTAGCCGCCCCCTGTGAAAGGGTCGTTCGACCGCCAAAGGGGTCGCGACCCACAGGTTGAGAACCGCTGTTGGAGGCTGAGGCTCTTCTCAACCATTCTGTCAAGTCCTTTAATTGCATCTGCGTGATTCTGATTGGCTGTGTCTGGACCAATCCCTGTGGCCTCGGGGAGGTCGCGCTCTGATTGGTGAGCTGTTGGCACATGCGCAGTCCTCTAGCTGGGAATGGGGAAAAGTGATGGCTGCAGCCCAGCCACAGAAACTGAAGGCTTGTGGGAAGGGTGGTTCCTCAAAAACAAAACAAAACAAAACAGGTGATTACCGGAGGAAGCGGAATGGATGGGTCGGTAAGGCCAGCACTGTCTTCACATCATAAAGCAACACGAACAGGATGGAAGGTGGGGACTCTGGGCTGTGTTGGGTCCCGTGGCCCCCACCAGGCCCCGCGTCTCCGACCCCGCCGTCTGTATGTGCCCACCCCCAGTTCTCAGTGTTCCTTGGCCTCATCTTCTTCCTGGAGCTCGCGACAGGGATCCTGGTCTTCGTCTTCAAGGACTGGATACGAGACCAGCTCAACCTCTTCATCAACAACAACGTCAAGGCCTATCGGGACGACATTGACCTCCAGAACCTCATTGACTTTGCTCAGGAATACGTGAGTCCAGCGTCCAGCACGGGCCAGCCACCTGCAGGAGGCACCTGCTGGGCAGATGAGTGGGAGCAAGTTCCCTGTGTGCGGGGACCACCCCCGCGCCCTGTGCGTCCCCCTGTGCCTGGTCCTGCAGGCAAACAGGGTTGGAGAATAGAGGCCAGAGGCTCCAAACTGGCAGCTCCTGGGCTAGGCTTATACCACGCTTACAGTAGGAATAAAAACATAGATTCCCCTTCTAGGAAACCCTGGGCCCGCAGTATTGGCTGGGGCTGCATTGTTGCTCCTCTTTGCTGATCAGGGGCTCTCTGTTTGCCACTATCCCTGACACTGTATTTTATTATGCCTGTCGGTCCTCTTCTCTCATTTGTATTACTTGTTTGGCCTCTGACCATATTAGAGTTTGAGACTCTATACAGAAGCCCTGCCCTCAAGCTTGTACACCTACCCCTGTGAAGACGTAGTGAGTGAACAGTTCACGAAATCCTAGACACCTCACACCTACAAGTTCCCGCCCGCTCACAGTGATACCCAGCCACACCCACTTACACAGTCATCCTCGTTTGGTGCTATCCACGTAGTCTGCTCTGGGATGCAGAGATGAACCGGAGCTGGTGCCTGCTTTGAGGTGCTCTCAACCCAGGGCTAGGCAGACAGGTAGCCAGGCGTTAGGGTGTGGTTTGTTTGTTCATTCAGCATGGAATTATCATGTGCCAGGCCCTGGGCTGGTGCAGGGGATTCTGGGGTGAAAAAAGTGGGGACCTGTCCTCGTGGGGATGGCAATCTGGGTGGAGAGATGGAGGATGAATAAGCAAAGCAAACAAACAAGTGTGTGTGTGTGTGTGTGTGTGTGTGTGTGTGTGTGTAATTTATAAATTGTGGTAAGGGTTGAGATGGGGAAGGGTGGAGGGGAAAGCCTCTGGGGGGTGACCTTGGAGGAAGAGAGGGCTCAGGGATGTGAGGAGAGGGGCGAGTGTTCCCCAGCAGGAGCAGCAGGTGCTTGGCAGAAGGAGAGGGGGCGGGCGGAGGCCAGGCTGTGCCCACACTTGCCATTGACTCACCTAGGGAGGCAGCCCACGATGTTCTGGGCAGGGGAGAAGGGGCTCTGGTGCTGGCGACAGCATTTATGAAGTGCAGCAGGAGGGTTAGGAGTGGCAGGGTTGCCCTCCTGCCCTTGTAGAGAGGAAGATCTCTGGGCGAGTATCGGAGACTGGCATAGATGTATTTAGTGGGGCCTCTCCCCATAGGGCTTGGCCCAGCACCCATTCTCGGGGTATCCTGCAGGAAGTCTCCGTTCTTGGGCCAACATCCTTGTCCCATCCCTTCCTGTTTTGTTTTGTTTTTTTCTAAATCCTTACTTACTGGAGGACATGCTGAGAGAGAGAGAGAGAGAGAGAGAAACATCGATTGCTTGCTTTCCATATGTGCCCTGACTGGGGATTGAACCGGCAACCTTTCGGTGCAAAGGACGACGCTCAACCAATGGAGCCACTTGGCCATGCTCCCTTCCTTTTTCAGCCTCTCTTGGGTTAGGGGGACAGGCTCCCACCATTTCCTGCTCCCACCACCGTGAGCAGGAGCCTAGCGCTGCTCTGATGACCCTGCGCCCTGGCCTGTCTGCTGGGAGGGTGTGGGGAGGTGCCTCTACACTCCTTTCCAGCCTCGCCCTGTCTCTCTACAGCCTTGGTCTGCCCCCAAACAGGGTGGATCTGGCTTACCTGGGTCTTTCCCCCTCCGCTCCCCCTCTAGTGGTCTTGCTGCGGAGCCCGAGGGCCCAACGACTGGAACCTCAATATCTATTTCAACTGCACTGACTTGAACCCGAGCCGGGAGCGCTGTGGGGTGCCCTTCTCCTGCTGTGTTAGGGACCCTGCGGTGAGTGGGCCCTGGTGAGGGGCGGGGCGGCAGGCATTGCTGAGTGCAGGCCCAGCCTGGGAAAAACCCACACAGGGCTAGCTCAGCCCCACCCTGGGGGCTGTGGCTGCAGGGAGGAGGTCATTTTATATAGGCCACCTCTACCAGGCTGGGACTTGGTATCCGTGGGCAGCACCGAGCCCTGCTGGAGTGGGGGCTGCGCCTCTTCAGCAAAACCTGTCTCTGATCATAGTGAGATGGCAGTTGCAGGCCCCTGGGCATGGCCTGCCCCACCGAGCTCCAGGCACCCTGTGCTTCCAGCTGAATGCAGCCCAGGTTGTCTGGGGACTGGGGGCTGGGTCACTCCCTCAGTCAGGGATGTGACAGGGACCCCCAGGCTGCAGCCAGCCACCATACCCCTGGGCCACCATACTGGGGTGGCAGGGATGGGGGTTCTGATCCCTTTAAGGCTATCTTTAGAGCAGAAACCTCTCACAGGGACATCTCCGAAGTCACAGTTCACTTGGGGCACTGAGGGCCCGGGTTCTTCCCATTCTTGTAAAACACAAGCAGGCAGGGCTCCTAAGCAGGAGAGAGCCCAACCTGGCAGGTGCCTCTGTGCGTCCTGGCGTCGGGCAGAGGCTCGCGGGCTCAGTGAGCCTCTGGAGGCGGCCGAATCCACGTCCATCTGCTTCCCCTGGAAGCAAGAACCGTTGCAGTGCTGGGTGCCGTGGGCCTGGAGGCCCCCTCACAGGCGGCTCATTGGCCTCTTTCTCCTCAGGAAGATGTTCTCAACACCCAGTGTGGCTACGATATCCGGCTCAAACTGGTGAGACGGGCTGGGACTGGGCTGGGGCACGGGGATGGGAAGGGGCACCCAGAAGCTCCTCTGAAGGGCCTCAGGGATCTGTGGGGAGGGGCACTGAGTCCTAAGAACCATCCAGGCCTTGGTGCTGCCAAACATGGGAGCAGTAGACCTGCGGGCACGGGCACAGGCGCATTTGCTCATCCCAACTCTGAGCGCCCTCTGGTGCCGAGTTTTGCCCTGGATACAGGACGCATGCTCCTGAGACAGATGGAGTCCGGCTCTCACGGAGCTCCCTCTGCAGGGGGGAGAGACAGGAAGCTCACTGATGCAGAAATGTGAATAGTAATGTGACAATTTCAGCTAAGAGCTTGGAAGAAAATAAAATAAGGTGATGGGAGTGGGGCTGGGCAGTCAGAACATGCCTCTCAGAAGAGTGGGTGTCTGTGCTGAGACCTGATGATGAGAAGGAGCCAGCCACGCCAAGGCCTGTGGCAGAGCTCCAGGGGGCAGGCACAGAGGCCTGAGGCCCTGGGCAGGGCGGGGGGTGGGGGTGGGATGAGGCATGGGGGCGCAGACTGAGCCCACATCTGTGTGCCCCAGGAGCTGGAGCAGCAGGGCTCCATCCACACGAAAGGCTGTGTGGGCCAGTTTGAGAAGTGGCTGCAGGACAACCTGATCATCGTGGCCGGGGTCTTCGTGGGCATCGCCCTCCTACAGGTACTCTGGAGGCTTCTCATCCTGCCCCCACTCCTTTACCCCGGGCCCCCCACCCTGCCGACGGCCTGTCCCTCACCCACTCTCCCTCTGAACAGATCTTTGGCATCTGCCTGGCCCAGAACCTCGTGAGTGACATCAAGGCAGTGAAGGCGAACTGGTGAGGCTGCCACGTTGGCCACGCCACCTGCCTGGCCCACCCAGGGACCTGCCACTGCGCCGTGATGGGCACCGCTGCAGGGGCATTTCTGCTTGGGCCTGAGCCCCACTGGGGCTCGTGTGTGGGCGTGCTGAGTGCCCACAGAGCAGCCGCATGACTCTGCCCGTTCTGGACTTGTGTGCATGGAGGGTGTGCGTGTCAGTGTGGGTGTGCACAGGGAGCCGCTGCCTCTGTGTTGTTGCGTGGCGGGCTCCCCGGGGGACGAGGAAGGGTGCAGGCTGGGACACTCCTCTCTGCATGGTGGTGTGGGCGGGCGCTGGGGCCTGCTGTTGCCTGGGATACGGCCCCATGCAGCTCCAGAGCTCTCTTCTCTATTGGCTGTGACCTTGACCCTTCCGGGATCCCATTTGAGCCTCAAGGTCTCAGACTCTAAAGTGAGTCCAAGAATTTTCTCTCCCTTGCTTGCCTCTCAGGATCAAACATGATGATGGCTGCAAACTACTTAAATAAACAAAACCTTGAAAACCACTGGCTTACGCCCACCATCTGGTTCTGTCAGCTGCAGAGCCCTGGCCCGGACCCACCCTGCCCCGTTTTCTCCGACGTGGGTCATGCATACACTTGAGCCGAACTTTAAAACTTGGTATAGTTCACACAAAAGTGAATTTCACAGACCCCCGGCTTCTCAGGAAGAAGCCCATCTGGCTGCAGCAGCTCTTTAGTGGCAATGTCTCTTGGGGCAACACTCCCCATCCTCTGAGGCCCTGCCTGGCCCATTCTGCTCACTGGGCTCTGCCCTGCGGACCCTGTAGGCTGGGCGTTGCCTTCCCACCCCTGTAGGGGTGTCCCTGCCAGCACTGCTGTGGCCCAGCCTGGAGGGCAGCACAGGGATGTGAAGAATGGAGGCTTGAAGAGGCCAGCGAAGGGGGGCTGACCCTGCCAGGGACTGAAATGGGTGCCAGGGGACCCAGGAAGGTTGTTGAGGGGTGGATGGAGGTCAGGAATGTGGGGAAGGAGGTCGCTGGAAGCCCAGAGCTGGGGTGGGGAGCCTAGTTGGGGGACTCCTGGGCACACTATCTGGAATGAAGTTCAAAATCTTCCTGGTGGCCTGTAGAGCTGCCTTATGGCCACCAGAGGGCGCCCCAGCACAGCATTCTCTGCGTCTGGCTTTTCTCTGGCAACCTCACCAAGTACAGCCAAGTGCCAGGTGAGTCCTCCCGGCTTACTAGTGCTCCGGGGGTTCAGGGAACTGGGAAACTTCAAAAGGAGCGAACTGGGGAAGCCTGGCTGTTCTCAGCTCTGCCCTTATCAGCCCCATGAAGGGGTGGGCGTGGAGTGACTGCCGTACCCCTCCCTGGGCTGCCTGCTCTTTGTGGCTGGTTCCCAGACCTCACACTCCGCTGTCCCGAGGGCCGGGAAGGGAGGCGAATGGAGTGAGGCCTTTGCGTGGCGAGGCCTTTGCCGTGCTGGTCTGACTTTCCCATTGTTACTGACGACAGGACACAGAGAAACATCGCTTTGTAACAAGGGGAGTAGTGACTGCCGTACCCCTCCCTGGGCTGCCTGCTCTTTGTGGCTGGTTCCCAGACCTCACACTCCGCTGTCCCGAGGGCCGGGAAGGGAGGCGAATGGAGTGAGGCCTTTGCGTGGCGAGGCCTTTGCCGTGCTGGTCTGACTTTCCCATTGTTACTGACGACAGGACACAGAGAAACACCGCTTTGTAACAAGGGAAGTACATACAGGGATGGGCAAAAGTAGGCTTACAGTTGTGCGTGTGAAAGTTTATTTTTGTATTATTTATTAATTGTATTATTTTCCATAAGAACAACTGTAAACCTACTTCTGCCCACATCTGTATTTGTTCAGTCAAGGTGATGATGGCAACTGGCCTGAGAGACAATAGGGTGTGGTGGGGCCTATGGCAAAACAGATCCCCGTCTCAAGTTGGAGGCTGTCATGAAGTTGCAGCTAATTGCTATAAAGTGAGAAAGCAGGTCTAGTGTTAGTAATCTGGAGAAGCCAGAAGTCCAGATTTTTATGAAAAATATTTTGGGTTTTAAGTTCTTGGCAACTAATGAAAAAAAAATTAACCTGTGAGCCAAACAGCAGGTGTGGGGCCAGCTTTGGTCCCTGTGCCCTGCCATTCAGGGGTGCTGGAAGTCGCTGCCAAGTGAGCAGGGGTGGGCATGCACCAGGCATCATGTCCTGGGTCCCTGACAGGCACGGTTACAGGTGGTTGATAGATGCTACAATAAATTCACTCAGTCTTGTGCGTTTGTCTTGTGTCTTTAATTTCAAATGCTTTCACTTTCAATCCCCTCCCAAACCTCACCACCCCTGTGTGAGGTGGAGATGCTCTTCCTGATGAAGCCAGCGCAGAGAGGGGAGGGAGCTGCCAGCACAGCTGGAGGCGGCACTCAACGCTGACCCTTGTCACTGGAGTTTTGCCCGTCACGTCCTGCCTATCTGACATCGCAGGAGGAAGCCTGCACACTCAGTGCCCACGAGTAATGCGCAGTAGGTGTCATTCCCCAAGCATGTTCGAACCTCCACTAAGTGCTGGGGATGTAGGGGGGAGAAGACCAGGGTCCTGGCCCGTGCGCTGCGTCCTTGTCGGGGAGACACAGAAACAAGTAGGCAAGGGAGCATTCGTGTTAATAACATATGCATGGCCCTTGCTGGTTTGGCTCAGTGGATAGAGCGTCAGCTTGCAGACTAAAGGGTCCCAGTTCAACTCTGTCAAGGGCACATGCCCCAGATGCGGGCTCAATCCCCAGTAAGGGGCTTGCAGGAGGCAGCCAACCAATGATTCTCTCTCATCATTGATGTTTCTATCTCTCCCTTCCTCTCTGAAATCAATAAAAATATATTTGAAAAATAATATATGCATGAGAAAGTAAGAGGGATGGGCTAGACGGTGACAGCTGGGGTGCCTGGGGAAGGGGCCCCTTTGAAGGGGTGGCTGGAGGAGAGGGTGCCATCTCTGGGAAGCGCCAGAGAAACAGTGTTCCAGGCGTCAGTAGCAGCTGCCCAGGAGGCCCTGAAACCAGAGTGGGCTCAGCACGAGGAAGCCTGGGTGCTGGAGAGGTGGGAGTGGGTGAGGGGCAGAGGGCACAGACAGGGAGATGGTGGAGACAGGTTCCATTTGGAAATAGGACTGGTGAAATGGGCAAAGACTGGTAGGAGTGAGCATGACCCTGGCTGGGGACCCAGAGTTTTCCAAAGCTCAGTCCTGCCTCAGGACACCCACCCACTCATCCACTCATTCACTCCACCACCCACCCACTCAGGTGGGCTCCAGCTGGAGGCTGAGGTCGCTGAGGCAGGTCGCACTGGCCCTTGCCTTCCCGGGCTCACCGTCTCTTGGCAGAGGCAGACGAGCAGCTGCTAGTGGTGCAATGTGTACATGGTGAGGAGCACGTGATCACTGCTAGGTGGCGGATCACGCTGGTTAGAGACAAATTCCTGCCTCCACAGAACTTGGAGCAGGTCTTTCCCTCGCGCTGAGGAGTGCTAACTCAGGCGGGACCTTTCCAGATGTGTGGAAAACAAGGGAGCGTGTGAGGCTGCCCCTGCCCCTCCCACTAAGCAGGTCCCTGGGCCATGCGGACCAAGGTGACCTCCCACCCTCCGTCAGGGCGGGGTGCACACCGGAGGTGACAGGTGGCTGTCGTCTGGCAGCCTGGGGGTGCCCCAGGAGCCCGGGTCTACCTAGCCTGACCAGAGGAGGGGCTTCCAGCTGGGCGGGAAGGCATCTGTGACCCCGGCTGCCTCAGAGGGAGGGCCAGAGGGGAACCAGAAGGAACAGAGAGAGCTCGGGCTGGCCAGCCTTGGATCTGCTGACGGCCTAGGGAGGTCAGGCCAAGGCCCCCTCCCAGAGGAAAGCCAGCGAGGCAGCGCATGCCTTAGGGGAGCCACTCCCAGTGACCACCAGAGGGCACAAGAGCTCAGCCCACGCAGCCGCGGGTTCCCAGGGCCAGCAGGGGCTGCGAGTGCAGAGTTCATTGAGGGGGGCCTCTGTGACTAAGGCCATACCACCTTTTCAGTGACCTGGTGGTCCATCCGATTGCCAAATCCAGGCCTTGCCACCCTCTGCATTGTCCACTCCAGGGACAAACAACACAGCCCCCACTTTCCCCACCTCTCCCAGGGCTCAGGGAGACATGAGCCCACCTTCGGGCCCTCATAGGTGGTGGTGTCTGCCAGACTGAGTGGGGCTCACTTTCCCTAGGAGGCTGAAGCAACATGCTCCACCACCTACCCTTCCATTCACTCCTTCAGCCAGACTTACTGAGCACCTACTATGTGCCAGACACTGCTGTCGGCACTGGGGATCCATAAGAGAATAAAAGAAGACCCACCGCAGGGTGCTCACAGTCCGGACTGGGTCAGCAGCCTTTGTCTGCAAAGGACAAAGAGTAAATACTTTAGGCTTTGGGGCCACTTAGCTCTGCCTTTACAGCAGAAGGCCACTCTCAAGACCAATGGGTGTGGCACTGTTCCAGTAAAGTTCTCTGGACACTGAAATCAGAATGCCATATAATTTTCACGTGTCACAAAGTATTACACCTCTTGATTTTCAATGGTTAAAAACACAAAACCGCCCTGACCAGTTTGGCTCAGTGGATAGAGCGTTGGCCTGTGGACTGAAGGGTCCCAGGTTTGATTCCGGTCAAGGGCATGTACCTTGGTTTTAGGCCCATCCGCAGTAGGGAGTGTGCAGGAGGCAGCTGGTCGGTGTCTCTCCCTCATCAATGTTTCTAGCTCTCTATCCCTCTCCCTTCCTCTCTGAAATCAATAAAAAAATACACATATATAAACAAACAAACAAACAAAAAACCCACAAAACCGCCCTGACCAGTGCTCAATGGTTAGAGCGTTGGCCAGGGCACCTAAGGGTCACAGGTTTAATCCCTGGCCCTGGTCGGGGATCGTGCGAGAGGCAGCCCACGGATGTGTCTCTCTGATGTCGATGTTTCTCTCCCTCCCACTCCCTCCCTTCCACTCTCTCTAAAAATCAATGGAAAGAATATCCTTCGGGGAGGATTAACCACAACAACAGAAAACAAAAATAAAAACAAAAAACAGAGCCAAACACAAAGCCGTCCTTAGCCCTTGAGCGATATACAAACGGCAGTGGGCGGGATTCACCTCTCCGTCTGGGGTTGCCGGCCCCCAACCTAGGAAGGGAGACAACACCAGTGAATCTTTTTTTTTTTTTTTGAGTTTGGTAAGCTTCTTCTAATGGCAAAGACCTGCAAATGCTTTTAGCTGGTGAACTTTATCACTTACAAGATTTTTTGTACTTTATTGATTAAGGTAGTACATATGTGTCCTTATCCCCCCATTGCGGCCCCTGCCCCCAACACCAGTGAATCTTGTAATGAGTCACTCACCCGGGCGAGTGTGAGTGCCATGGAGATAGCAGAGCCAGTATGGGCCGGCAGTGTGGGGCGGGGCAGGCCTCGGTGTTAAGTGGGGCCTTTTGAATTATTTTGGTAGCATGGGGAAATGGGAACCCAACCCAT